AGGAATGGAGTGAGAGAGGGAGGGAGGGAGTGTGTGAGGGAGTGAGTAAGGGAGGAATGGAGGGAGTGAGGAATGGAGGGAGTGAGGAATGGAGTGAGGGAGTGAGGAATGGAATGGAGGGAGTGAGTAAGGAATGGAGAGAGGGAGGGAGGGAGTGAGTGAATAAGGGAGGAATGGAGTGAGAGAGGGAGGAATGGAGTGAGGGAGGGAGAGGGAGGAATGGAGGAATGGACTGCGTGAGGGAGTGAGTAGGGGAGGAATGGAGAGAGGGAGTGAGTGAGGAATGAGGAATGGAGTGAGTGAGGGAGGGAGTGCGTGAGGGAGTGAGTAAGGGAGGAATGGAGAGACGGAGGGAGTGAGTGAGGAATGGAGTGAGTGAGGCAGGGAGGAATGGAGTGAGTGAGGGAGGAATGGAGTGAGAGAGGGAGGGAGGAATGGAGTGCATGAGGGAGTGCATGAGGGAGTGAGTAAGGGAGGAATGGAGTGACTGAGTGAGGAAGTAACTGAGTGAGTGAGGGAAGTGATCATGCAATTCCGGCACTGACTTAGCTGTTGTGACCCAGTCGGGGTGGGCTCAGCTCTGCACATTGCACTCACTGACTGCTCTGTCTCCTTGTTCACAGCTGACATCTTGGAAAGCTTCGACAATCACCCGCCCCTGATCCTGCCTTCTAGCACTTTCCACATCGAACTTGGAAAGCCCATCCCTGACTCCCTGGGCCTCACCTCCCAGCTGGAACGTATCAAAGAGTTTCTGAAGAGCCTGGAGGAACCAGGGTCTCTGGCAACGCCTGAACTGAGCAGTGGCAGCCGATCCCCACAGGTAAAATATCATGGGCATTCGGAGGATACAAGCAAGCAAGGACAGTGACTTTGTGTGGAGAGAATCTAACAGAGAAATTGGAGGTTCTTCATGAACAAACTTACTTTGAATATTATTATGAGTCACAATGAGCCAAATGGCCTTGTGTGCTGTGTGTCATTCTGTGATGGTATCTCCCTCCTGATGATTTTCTAACCAGGGGAAATAATATCTCCAATGTACTCTTATCAATGCACTTTACAGTTTTAAAAGCCTCCCCTAGCATTCTGGCTTCCCATAGAAAGTTGCATTGTCTCATTGTCTCATTGTCTCTCTCATCCCCATAGTTTCCCATTCCAGGTTTATCCCTGTCTTGTGAATGATTGAACACTCTGATCAATACCTGTCATGTGCTCCTGTCACCGTTGACTCTGAAGTGAATGCCTCTTCAGAAATGTTAATGGAGATTGGGAATAGGATGGTGAGACATGAGCTGCTCTTGGATCGGAGTACCTGCTGGTGCAGTGTAGTGTTAGCCTGGCAGGTACACAACAACACTTGTGGAATTTACATCCTTAATCGCCAGTCAGATCATTGTCCCTTTGATCATTTTAGGAGCAGTCAAGATCTGTGCTGTGTTACAAAGAAGACTGAAGCTCATAATCATTTGGTATCTGTGCGTTGATGTCTTAATTTATACTGGCAAGACAACAGACATAAAGGAGCACCTGACAGAGGTCATGTATTCACTGTGCAGTGTTACTACACATGTGTACATTAAACTCTGCTGGGCTCTGTCACGCTGTGTATAAAGCATGGCATATTCTTGTTACTCTGTGTATGTCCACTAATATTAAACACAGGGTATTTCTGACATTTGTTAGTCTTGTACTTCCTGTCTTGAGAATCGTTTAGCGTTTGATTTTCCTTGATACCGGTTTTCTAACCACTGATGATCACTGTGTATGACAAATACAAGCCAATTATCACCATACACACTGGATTTGATAAAGATTGGAACGTAGGAAATAAAATCAGGAGGAGGCTCACAGGTCTGCACCATCATCCAAACAAATTATGACTGGTCATCTATCTCAATGCCATTTTTTCCCACCATCTCTATATCCCTTAACATCATTAATCTCTGGAATCCTATCGATTTCTGCCTTGAACATGCTCAATAGTTGAGTATCCACGATCCTCTGAGTAGAGAATTCCAAAGATTCACCATCCTTTGAGTGAAGAAATTCCTCCCCATGCGTGTCTGGAATGGCTTGTACCTTATCCCGAGACTGTCCCTGAAAGAACTTTGTGAGTTACAGAGACCATCGCTTATTCTTTGAAACACGAAGGAATGCAGATGTAGTTTCCTGTGCTACCATCACAGGGATTAGTCTGGTGGAACTCCAATGCATTCTCTTGATGGCCAGTATATCCTTCCTTAGACAAGGGAACCAGAACTGTCCACAAGTGTGATTGTACCAATATTCTACACATCTACACCAGACATCCTTGCTCCTGTATCTCAAGATCAGCACACCATTTGCTGCCTTATTGCTTGATGCATCTACATGCTTGCTTTTAGTGATTCATGAACAAGGACTCCAGGCCCCTTTGGACATCAACACTTCCCAATCTTCTCACCATTTAGGGAATTCTCTGCCTTTTTGTTTCTTCTTCTAAGGTAGATAACTTCACACTTATCCACACTGTATATCATTTACTATGTTCTAGCCATCACTTTGCCTGTGAAATCTCCATGAAGTCTTCTTGCATCCTTCTCACAACTTACATTCCCACTTAGTTTAGTGCCATTATCAAATTTGGAAATGTTGTAATTAGTCTTCATATCCAAATCATTTTGATAGATTGTGGACAATTATGAGCCTAGCAGTGACTCTTGCAGTAACAACTTGCCATCTAGAGAATGGTCTGTTTATTCTTACTGTCTGCTTTCTCTCTGTTAACCAATTGGTCTTAGAGTCATACAGCATGGAAACAGAACCTTTGGTCCAACTCAACCGCACCAACCAGACATCTCAATCTGACCTAGTCTCATTTCACAGGATTTGGCCCATATCCCTACAAACCCTAGTCATATACCCATCCAGATGCTTTTAAATGTTGCAATTGTACCAGCCTCCACCACCTCCTCTGGCAGCTCATTCCATATACACACCATCCTCTGTGTTAAAAAGTTATCCCTTAGGTCCTTTTTAAATCTTTTACCCTTTCACCTTAAACCTATGCCCTCTAGTTCGGACTCCCCGACCTTTGGAAAACTATCTTGGCTATTCACCCTGTTCACAGCCCTCGTGTTTTATAAACTTCTGTAAGGTCATATCCGTGTCTGAGTTTCCAGGGAAAATAATTCCAGTCTGTTCAGCCTCACCCTATAACTCAAACCTTCCTGTTCCGGCAACAACCTTGTAAATCTTTTCTGCACCCCTTCAAGTTTAACATCTTTCCAGATAGAAGGGTGACCAGAATTGTACACAGTATTCCAAAAGTGGTCTTACCGATGTCCTGTACAATTGCAACATGACATCCCAACTCCTAGACTCAATGTTCTGACCAATGAAGGCAAGCATGCCAGACACCTCCTTCACTACCCTGTCTACCTGTGACTCAGGAACTAGGAACCTACACTCCAAGGTCTCTTTGTTCAACAACATTTCTGAGGGCCCACCATTAACTGTATAAGCTATGTCCTGGTTTGCCTTACCAAAATGCAACACCTCACATTTGTCTAATTAAACTCTACCTGCCACTCCTTGGCCCATTGGCCCATTTGATCAAGGTCATGTTGTACTCTGAGATAATCATCTTCACTGTCCACTACATCACTTATTTTGATGTTGTCTGCAAACTCTCTAACCATTATCTCCTACATTTACATCCAAATCAATAACAGAAATGATGAAAAGCAGTGGACCCAGCACCAATCCTTGTGGCACACCACTGGTCACAGGCCTCCAGTCTGAAAAGCAACCCTCAGAATCCCCTCCAATAACTTGCCTGCCACTGATGTCAGACTTGCTGGTCTATAGTTCCCTGGCTTTTCTTTACAGCCTTTCATAAATAATGGCACCACGTTAGCCACCCTCCAGCCTTCCAACACCTCACCTGGGGCTATTGATGACACAAGTATCTCAGAATGGGGTCCAGCAATCTCTTGCCTAACTTTGCACAAAGTTCTTAGAAACACCCACCAGTATATTCTGTCCAAGTCCCATAGGCTTAAAATTTGTTTACCACCTGCGTGGGAACATGTCAAAAGCTTTCTGAAAATCCAAAAAGCTAACATCCACTGGCTCTCCTTTCTATATGCTAAAAACAAAACCCTGAAAAAAGCCCAGTAGGTTTGTCAAAAATGATATCCTGTTCGTAAATCCATGTTGACTGTCTAAGTTTACCATTCTTTTCTAAATATCCAGCCAGCAAATCGTTTAGAATGGATTCTGATGTTTTTCTGGTGTCTGATGTTAACTTAACAGGAGAGTTGTTCTCTGTCCTCCCTTTTCCTAAATAGTAGGGTTCTCTTTGCAACTTTCCACTCAACAGGAACCTTTCCAGAAACCCATCCCTTATTATCCAGCTCCTTTTCTTTTTAACCTATTATTCTTAAATGACCAAAGTCTCTAATTGTTCAGTTTTTGGTTCTGGTCAATTTCTAACTACGTATTGGCAATTAAATCACACTTAATTACCACTTAATCTTCACATGATCGACTTTGTTACATTGCTGCATGTCCTTGACTTTGTCTTTTTAACATTATTCTGTATTGTCATTGTATTGAATGCTTGACTTTGCTTTGTTTGCCTTCTTATTTTGCATATTACTTTTCTATTTCCTGTTTCCAGTTTTGCTGTCTTCCAACTTGAACTCTGTTTCAGCTTGCCACTCTCCTGCCAATCTAATTTATACCCACCCCAGCAAAACTAGCAAACACACCATCGATCACCGCAAATATTTCAGATTCCTGGCTCTGTACCCTGCAGATTCCTAGCCTCACACGAAACAGGAATGATAAATTAGACACAAAGTAAATACTTTCCCTTGTGGAACAACCTACAACAAGAGCTCACAGTTTTAAGCGCAGGAATGCAGATTTAAAACAGACAGAAGGAGGAATAACTTCTCTCAAAGGGTTGTGAATCTGATGCAGGGACACTCACTAAATTTAAGGTGATGGACAGATTTTTATTAGTAACAAATTGAAAGGTAATGGAGAGTGGGCAGGAAAGTGGGATTGAGGCTGAGATGCGATCAGCCATGACTGAATTGAATGGTGAAGCAGGCTGAAGGGGCTGAATGGCCTACTCTTGCTCCTAGTTCTGATGTTGTTATGACTTCATGGTCCTGCATCTGTGGATCTTGGTCCATGGACAGATGCGGATGAACTGATGGTCTCTGTCTGTCACCAGATCTCAGAGAATCTATTCAATACATTTCACTGATGAGTGTGTAGGGACCACGTACAGATTTCATCAAGTACCCTCAGACTCCTAACCCAGTCAATTCCTGGTGTTTCTTCACACTAAGATCAATTTCTGTGTTTGTTTCATAGCAACCAGGAATTGAAAGGGCAAGGAGCTAGTGGTAGGACAACATTAACAACAGTCTGACAGAAGACAGTAAGTATGAAAATTGTGATTACAGATTGTGCAAGCCTGTAGAAAGCAGAAAGAGGACTGAGGGAAGGGAGGAGTTGCACAGGTTTCTGGTTCTAGGACAGAAGATATTCCAAGTGGGAAGCAAGCAATGATTCTGCAATTCTGCACAAGACAGAATTAAGACAGAATTCTTTAGCGTTCTCATGTGTGTCTGGTACTCAGTTCAATTTGCATTAGAGATGGTTCTGTATGGACACTCTCTGTCATAAAGACACTTTTCATCCACTGTCCTCTTTTGCTAACATCCTGGTTTCCATTATTCATTCTGTTTTCATTCCAAGATAAGGCTGAACCCTTTCGCAGCAATCTTCAGCCAGAACTGCTGAGTGGATGATCCATCTTGG